AATCATAGCTGTGTACAGTAATACTATCATGGGATACTATATATAATTTGAACTACTTCATCCAACTGGTTAACATAGCCTTCATGTCTTTTTCTTAGTTATTGTGTTAAGACATTTATAGTCTACATTTAGAGAGATTCACATGTACCCTTATAGGATGAACCATAGGTATGATCCCACCAATCACCCTCCCTCCACCACCCTCCACCCTCTCCTCCCCTCCCTCTCCCCTCTCCCCATATTCCTGGGCTAAAATTGGGTTATAGCTTTCCTATGAAAGCTATAAATTACTTTGTAGGGCTGAGTACATTGGATACTTTTTCTTCCATTCTTGAGATACTTTGCTAAGAAGAATATTCTCCAGCTCCATCCATGTAAACATGAAGGAGGAAAACACCCTTGGCGTGAGGACGGGACTCTCTCCTGATGTCTTAGACTTTCGAGAAGGATGAGGAAGTTTACAAAAGAAATTCTGAGCATCATTGCTAACAGTCCCAAAGAAAGAGAGAAGAACCATCTAAAAAAGCCAGAGTTGGGTGCAAAGCTCTGCAAAACCACCATAAAAGTCACAGCTGCAGGCCTGCAGGTAGAACTGCCTCTGCACATTCAGTGCCTCCCAACAAGCAGAAAAGGCGCTGCACTGCACTCACCCTGGTAAGCTAGGCCCAGTTTAGGGGTAATGAAGAGCCAATGCTATTCACAGATGAAACATCAGTGACTCGGCCACCAAAGTCACTTCACAGTCAAGAGAGAAGGAAAACTCAATCTAAGGAAGCGAATGCCACTTGAGGGACGTCTGTGTCAGCTTCCCAGCTTTCTTAGCTCACCTCTTGGAGCCATCCATGCCACCACTCCCAGGGTAGAGGAAGCCACACTGGAGGAGGGAGAAAGAAGCTTAAGCTGGACAATGGGAAGGAGCTCAATGGATGTGTGCTAAGCAAGTGGGCACCATCTGTTACTCAGTGTTTTCTGCAGGTTCTCCAAGCAACACTCCCCCTAAAGTTGAGTCTGCCTCCTCTAGGACTTCCTCTTAGGAGATATCTAATCCTTTCCACCAGGATGCTCTGAGGTATCTCTAGGACTTAGCTGCAGTACCTTATACAATTCACCCCTAACCTGGGCTTCCCGACTCATGTTCATCATCCTTCATGCATTACATTGAACAACTGGATTCACGTAACAGCCACTGTTCAGTATGGAAGGAATTGCATCAGCTTTCCCCCACATTATTTCACTACTCCACTCTGACTCGTGTTTACAGCTCTCTCTGTAAAAATCAACCCATTAATAGAATGACAGAGGAGCATCGTAAGGAATGTTGTAAAGAGCTCGATTAACGTGAACACAAAAGGTTCAGGCAAAGTGCTGGTGTAATAAAATGCTAATGCTATATACACATGAAAGATTCACTGACAGACCTCACTTTGGAACCAAAAAAGAATGAAAAAAATCAGTCTGGGGTAGTAAATGCCATTTGAGGCATCTCTGCTTCAAGCTCACAAGTCTCTCAGCTTGCTGACTAGAGCCGGCAATTCTGCTGACGCCGGGTGTAAAGGCAACAAGGAGGAAGAGGAAGAAGCTGGAGGCTGGCAAGAGGAATCTGCACGCCTGGACCTTTAGCTCCTCTCATCTGGCATCCGGCCCTAACTCTCAGAGAATGAGCAGGCCAGGCGAGGTGGCTCACGCCTATAATCCCAGCACTCAGGGAGGCCAATGGGGGAGTATCACTTGAGCTCAGGAGTTCAAGAACATCCTGAGCAAGGGCAAGACCCTCATCTCTTCTAAATATAGAAAAACTAGCTGGGTGTTGTGGCAGGCACCTATAGTCCTAGTTACTTGGGAGGCTGAGGCAAGAGGATCATTTGAGTCCAGAAGTGAGGCTGCTGTGAGCTAGGCTGATGCCTCGGCACTCTAGCCTGGGGCATCAGAGTGAGACTCTGTCTCAAAGAAAAAAAAAAAAAGACAACTCCCCATATGACATGATGTTCTCAACATATCACAGCTGATGTCAACACAGAGTGATGATGAGACAGCCACAGTGGTGACACATGATGTGAAGTCAACACAGAGTGATGACGCGACAGCCACAGTGGTGAAGTCAACACAGAGTGATGACGCGACAGCCACAGTGGTGACACATGACATGAATTCAACACAGAGTGATGATGAAACAGCCACAGTGGTGACGTGGCCTTTGAGATGCTGCTGCCTTCCCCTCCAGCCATGGTGCCTCCTCTCTCCCATCTACTGTCTCAGACCCACAGGTCTCCTTTCTGCTCCTGCTAACTCTTTCCCCGTGCAGGACCTTGCTATTCCCTAAGCAGCATGTTAAGTGGCCATTGAACACTAAATGTGGTCTGAGCCATCCAACCATCCAGCCCATGAGGAAATCAGTAGAGCTCAGCTCACAAGCCCCAGCTGCCAGCCTGCCTGCTCAAGCCCTGCCTGTTGGCCCTGCAGCTGGAGGAACCCACATGAGAGCCCCACCCCTGGTCCAGCACTCAGTGTGCTAAACAAACTCCAGGGAGTGGGTGCTTTCACCAGCCTACACTGGTCAGACAGAGTCCTTGCAGCTGCACCCCAGTTGTCACAGATGACCAGAACACTTCACCTCTGATAATCCTTTCACTCTTCCTAGTTCATCAAGACCATTCATTCAAAACCCCCAGACATCCCTGTCATAGGAAAACCTTAAAAATATTTGCATTCAAGGGTTATTTACCATTTACTAATAAACGGCCACTGAGTATACAGAGAAGGAAAAGACACAGTCTTGCCGTCCAGGGACTAGTCCATTTGAGGAAACAAATGTGCAGGTTATCACCCCCCAGACTAGAGCACTGTTCTCCTCTCTGGTGACTTTCCGGGCACAGACTGATGTCTAGCACCCTGACACTGCCACCAGCCAGTTCTGAATCTCATAACCCATCAATGAGTCTACGAGGAAAAACACAGTAGTGGGGGTAGCCGCACAGGAGGAAATAGCTGCCCCAGGCCTTCCCAGCCTGGTTTCTTACACGTCTGCAGCAGCCTGTTTTCTTAAGACCCCAGCTTGCTTTCCCTTAACCTCACTTGAGTTAGAATACAAGTTTCTTCTAAAGTCACCTCCCTTATTTAGAGTTAGTTTAGGAACCAGATAAAACAGACCATAAGAACGGGCAACCTGAACCAGGAACAGGGTTCCACGGTCCTCTTCCAAGATCCTGGGACTCTGACGCCTACCCCCAGCTCAGGCACGTCACCATAATGAGTGGGTATTTTTCTGATTATAAAAATAAAACTTACTATGGACAATTTAGAAAGCACTAGAAACATGTTGGTATACTGATGTGTGTGTGTGTATATATACAGACGGGACTTGTAATACCACCTACCCTCCAAGAGACCACCACAACATAAACACACAGCTAATCAAAAAACCCCTCAACTTTACCACTGAATATGGTGATAATTAATGGTTTCTGAATAAACTCTTTGTTATATTAAGGAAGTACCTTATTCCTCATCTATCAAGAATATTTTTATCTAATATCAATAATAAACACTATAAAATGACTTTTTAGTACCTAACAAGATTAATTATCTGGTTTTTCTCCTTTAACTACGAATGAGACGATTTAACATGGAATTTCTTAACATTAAACTTTGCAATCCTAACCAAACCCTACTTTTTTTGTGCATTGTTCTTTTAATATGTGAATTTATTGGGTAATCTCTTTCTATAATTTTTATATATTTACACACAAATGGGATTAAACTAATTTTCTTATTTATGCTATCTTTATCAAATTTTTTATATCAGGGTAATGCACACTGAACCAAGAGAGATATTATATATATATACATACACACACACACACACTTTTTTTTTTTACATACATATAAATGCTTTAAGGACATATAAACAGCAAAGGGCTTGTTGTAATACCTTGAAGTGTTTTCTGGAAATCGCCATAAAGCCATGTAGGCTTGTTACCTACAGGAAGCAGTTCATTTTTTTTTTTCTTGAGGCAGAGTCTCACTATGTCGCTCTCGGTAGAGTGCTGTGGCGTCAGAGTAACCTCAAACTCTTGGGCTCAAGCAATTCTATTGTCTCAGCCTCCCAAGTAGCTGGGACTACAGGCACCCTCCACAATGCCTGGCTATTTGTGTTGTTGTTGTAGATGTCATTGCTGTTTAGCTGGCCTGGGCTGGGTTCAAACATGCTAGCCTTGGTGCATGCAGCTGGCGCCGTAACCACTGTGCTAAGGGTGCTGAGCCAGGAAGCTTCTTTAATTAATTACTTTTGCAACTGTCTTCTACAGTGGTGTTTCTGTTGTTGTTTGGGGTGGGGTTGTGTTTTGGGGGAAGGCTGCTTTTGGTCTCTTCAGACTGTCTTGGCCTCTGGATCATCTTCAATTAGTTCTATAACGAATGTTATTCTAGAAAATAGCCTACTTCATCCACATTTAACAAAGTTGTATGTGATATTCTCTCCTGTTTCTTTCCTCCATATTTGAGGCTACCTTTGTTTTCTTATTTTTAATGTTATATACTTATGTGTTCTCTGTTAATTCTGTACCACAATTGCCAAAAGTTTCTAATTAAGTGATATTTTTTAAAGAATCAGCTCTTACTTTTTTCCACGAAGTACACTGGTCTTATTTTGTTTTGTGGGAGGTGTTTGGTAGTTTTGCTAACATCTCTTTTTAACAGGCTAGGCCTTTTCCTGGAAAGTCCCCAAAGCAGCCACCACCAGGAACAAGACAGACTCCTGTGGCCTTACCTCAATGAGCTTTCTTTCATAGGAGCTGGCCAGTTCTTCAGCAACTTCTCCTGGCTTCTGTTCAGTTACTGTAACTTCTCCATCAACATTCCAAAGATTTGGCACAACTTTAGAAAAAGAAAGACACTCTATAAATATTTTAACAGGAATCAAATATTATCTTCCCAGCAAAAAATAATTTTCTTCTTACCCAAATGGCTTCTCCAAGAGAAAAAGCTCTTTAGGAGAAAAAAAAAAACCTACAAGGACTAATTATTTCAACCCTGCAACATTTTCACATAAGTACAACAAAAATGAATGATAAGCTATATTTTTTAAATTCCATGGCTGTCCTCAGATACACGCACAGGAGTCTGGGAGATAATCTTGTCACCACTTTCCATTTCAGGAGAACAGGGACAATGCTTTGGCAAGACGTAAGAACCTACACTTCCATCTTTTATACTCGTCTAATTTCTTCTTCTCCAACAAAAAGGTTATCCAGCGAGGTAGTACCTGTCCACGGCCAGATGTGGAGTAGTAATGGGGGTCCGATTACAAGTAGAACCAAGAACTGGCATTTATAAATCATGCTTAGGATGACAAGAAGGCAGCCTTTGGAAAAACTCTAAAACCAATGCATAATGTCAATGCAAAGATACGTTAAAAAGAGACTGGCTCCCAGGTCAGAGCAAAAATGAGTACAAACAGACCCGGAGCTCTTTCTACTATTCTGTCCATATATGCCTACTTCGTGGAGAACAGCAAATAGAAGAAGAATAGGCAATGAGCCAGATAGTTCCAAGGTAAACAAAAACAAGAGCAGGAAAGAACTCCTACATTGTGGGTAAGGAAAAGATCCAGTGGCATGTTTGAAGAATATGGGTTTGCCTCAAGTCTCAAAACAACCATCAACTATACAGTTTCCTATGTGGTCTGGGAGATAACCACCCTCGAAGCCCCTATTAATCATAAGAAGGTAGCAATGAGGCAAAACAAGGTCTCAGGCTAGCCCCCAGGGACAGGGAGAAAGTCAAAGTGAGAGAGGCTAAAATGACCTGAGCTCAGCTTGAGCCCAGGGACCAAGCCTCATCAGGCTGCAGCTGCTCAGAGCCTGCCAAGGCAAAGAGGCCCTGAGTGACAGCTGGAAACATGCTGAATGAGACCCCAATCTGTTTCCATCCAGTGACCACTGCCATCCCAGCCTCTACTGCAAGAGGTGACCTACTAAATCTATAGCCTGGAATCATTATTTAAAAAAAAAAAAAAAAGATTGTAAAGACTTTCAGTGAACAGTGATAGACTTGAACAAGTTTAATTCACATCATCTCAAAATCCCATAAAAAATGCTAATTTAAAATGCTTTTCAATTAAGTGATGGATCCTAGGTGGCTAACTGGTCCTAAATTTAAAATGAGCCAAGCATCCAGGCTAGAGATCACATGCATACTCTAAGTTCCCTGAAAACCATACTTTTGTTTAACTTTGAGATTTTCTTACTCATAAGACTTTCAGAGCTCACTCTAAGCAACCATAGAGCTCACCTGCCTCAGCCAATCAGGGCTCAGCTGTCTCAACCAATCAGAACTAAGCAACCATGACTCTTTCATTTGCATAAATGGACCTGATTGAGAACCTGAGGGGGAACTTTTGCTTTTAAATCTGACTCTTCCTTTGTTCTCTAGAATACACCTCTGTTTTACACCAAAGGCTGCATCTCCCCACTGTACAGACTGCTCACTGGAAAAAGGTCTCTTTTTCCTCCAAATTCCTTTCCAGAGAACTATTTTTCACAACAATGAAGAATGCCTTCAACATCCTGAAGAAAAATTATTTCCAACCTAAAATTATATACCAAGACAAACCAGGTAGGATAAAAACATTTTCAGACACACAAACTCACAAAAACTTTACCTTGTATCAAAAGAAGAAAAGAAATCTGGAATCATAACACAAATTACAAGACAAAAGGAATCCAATCCAAAGTGAGTCAGAAAAACTTTCATAATAACCAAAAAGTGGAAGTGACCCAAATGGCTATCAACTGATGAATGAATGAACAAAATGTGGCATCCTCATGCCCTAGGATGTTATTCAGCCATAAAAAGGAATGAGATACTGATTCAGGCTGCAACTTAGATAGCTCTTGAAAGCATTATTCTAGGTGCTAGTCTATCTTTGTGAGTGAGAGTTGGCCTGTCAAATGCATCTTCTAGGAAAATAATTAGTATAATAATCAGAAGATTGTTCTCTAAAGTTGATACTGTGGATTATTTTTGTGAACAGCCTGATGTTTGGGTCCTTTTTTCCTTAGAATAAACAGGTCCTTATTAAACCAGGAATTTGGTGGGGAAAAAAGAAAGCAGCCGGAAACAAAAGTACACAAAAACTTAGTGTACGTGCCCGTTTACAGGAAATATCCTGAATAGGCACTGGTCGCCAGGGGCTGGGGGAAAGGGGTTGACTGATACAGAGTGAGTGACTGCTCATGGATAAAAACATTCTGGAATTAGACAGTGGTGAGAGTTGTACAACTTTGTGAGTATACTAAAACCACTGAATTATGTACTTTAAAAGGGTGAATTATTATGTGAATTATTTCTTACTGAAGGCATTACTAAGAAAAAAAGGGAGTGGGAGGACAGGCATCCTTCTTCGGGCTAAAGTAGTCAGAAAGTCCCCAGAGAGGCTGAAGTTCCAGTGGCAGATGATCTAAAGTATGTGAACACACCAAGGGGAGAGGAGAACTTGGAGCTGAACTAGTGATGAATATACAGAACACACAGAGACACACAAAAACAAATACTAACTCCAGGAAAATCAAGAGACTGTACAGGAAAAATGATTGTATACCTCACATTTTCAGTCACAGTGATGCTGTCACTGACTACTGATCTAACCAGAGGATGGTGAGAGCACTCTGTGTGTGGGAGGGTGAGTGTGAGTGGGGCGGGGGGGCGTTCTGTGGGGTTGGAGGAATCAAAGAGAGTTGCTCTTCCTCTCCCAGTATGACAAACGCATCTTCTAGAAAATCAGTTACTGCTATAAATGGAAAACCAAAAAGTGTCAGGAGGCTTGTTCTTCAGAGATATTGAGGCAACAACCCAAGCAATCAGTTTAAAAGGTTTCAGATAGCTGCCCCTGAGGAGTGGGAAGTGGTGAAGGCAGAGGTCTTGCGTCTTTTGTAATAAGGCTAAGAGAACTAATCACCTTTTAATCAATGTACGCATAAAATTTCAATTTGAAAACACAAACTAGTTTTTGTAAACCATGTTGTCAGAATTTGAGGGGAGACTCCATTTAGGAACAGGACTTAGAGGCTGGACACCAGTGGCTCACACCTATAACTCTCGGAAGCCAAGGCAGAAGGATCACTTAAGCTCAGGAGTTCAAGACCAGCCTGTTTCAGAACAAGACCCTGTCTCAACTAAAAATAGAAAAATTAGGCAGGTATGGTGGCAGGTGCCTGAAGTTCCAGCTCAGGAGTCTGAGGCAGGACAATCACTCAAGCTTAGGAGTTTGAGGTTACTGTGAGCTGTGATGATGCCATAGCACTCCAGCTGAGGCTCTGCCTCAGAAAAAGAAAGAAAGTTAAAAGAAAAGAAAGAAAAGGGGAGAGGAGGGGAAGGGAAGAGGGGAGAAGAAGAGCTTTAAAAAGTTAGGTAAGATAGCAGAGGCACCACTTAGCAAAGCAGCCAAGGGTAAAGTACAAGGGCAGGCACCCCCATCACAAAGTGGGGTACAGCTGGATGGCAGAGCCTGGTGGTAAATACACAACCAAGTTGTAGAACTAACAGCCCATGGTCAGCCTCTGATCATCAGATGAACTTCTAATCTGTGCCAGCCCAAGTTTCGTTCCTCCACAAGAACATCCAGATCACCCAACCTGTTCCAAGTCCATACATCTTGTTAGTAATCAAGTCATTGGCCTTTGGCCCAGGTACCAAGCCCTTGTGACTGTGTTTAGGAGGAATCAGCAATTTTTAGCACTAGAAGAGGAAGAGGCATAAATAAGCTTTTTGATCTTCAAGGCTGGACAGAGACCCTGGACAGTCATAAATTAAAAGAAATTCTCTTCAAAATCAGCCAGTCAACCTTCCCCTCCAACTGTTTGACTTTCTGCTGCCCTGGTTCAGCTCCTGAAGCTTTAACAAGCATGTCAAAAAACTTTAATTCCATGTATAACATTTTTTTTTTAAATCCTAACTATATCATACTTTTCTCTTTGGTAGGTGAATTCAAAAATGGTCCCCAGTGACCCCTGCCTCCAGGTATCCACATTCTTACATAATCCCAACCCCTGGACATACTGACTCACCCATAACGAACGGAAAAGGGCAGAAGTGATGTGACATCATCTCTGACGTAAGTTATACAAAGACTGTGGCTTCTGTCTGGGGTAGCCTCTCACTCACTCTTATATGCTACATTATGGGGAGAATGGATGGATCCAGCCAGCAGCCAATGGTCCATGAGTGGTAGTGGGTCTCCCTAGTTGAGCCATGAGACAACAGCTGCAGCTTCAGCTGACACCCTGATTGACCTAATGAAAGACCCAGAGCCAGGCACGTGGCAGAGCCACACTCTGACTATCCATCCCACACTAACTGGGAGATAGTAAATGTTATTGTTTTAACCTGCTAAACTTTGGAGGCAATTTGTCACATAGCCACAGATAACTAATACGGTGCCTTTAATCGTTCCATAGGTATTTCTTGAGAGGCTAATATACTATAAATAAGATTCTGAGTTAGAGCACGGACTTATAAATACAATAATAAAGTCCCACATGGGTGGGACCAAAAAAAAAAAAAAAAACCACACAAACAAGAAAATAGAAGCAGACTTGATCAATGTATCCCTACAGCTTAAGGATTAATATTTACAAACTAAATAGTTGATTAAGTTGGTTTTCTTCCACCTCTCAATTGCCAAAGGTAAATATGTAGCAACAAAGCATGAGAAGTCATCTTATTAGGCTAAGTTCATGCAGGTACAACATCTGATTTCTTTATTTTCAAGTCAAGAAGTCTCATTTGCCTTGGGAGTAAGAGAACATTTGGGTATTCAAAGAAGGCAGCACAATTAAAGTCTGAGGAATGGTGAATCACTTGAGAGCCACAATAACAAGTTATCTTCATTCTATATTCTTTGCACATTCCCTCCCCCCACAAAAAACACAATCAATCTGGAGAGGATCAATTGTGATTAAATTCTGAAAATCAAATCTAAACAATAAATACAAACATTTGTGACTAATCGAAGTAAAACTTTGTTTTTAAAGTTGCATCTTTCCTGAGGGTGATCTCTTGGTTTTAAAATGGAAAGAATGACAATATAATATCCCAGGAGAAACATATACTTCTCTGTCACATCAATAACAGCTCACTCTGAATTCAAGACA